TATCTCAACTAACACTCCCAAGTGTGCAGCAACTTACCCCATCTAGTGGTCGGTTCTGAATCACGTGAGCCTTTAACGGTGGAGGGACAAGAATGATTGTCATACACATCAAGAGCATAACCGAATAACATCGTTGCATCGAGGCTTTGAAAGGTTCAACCTGTACGTAACTCATGTACCTAACTTTCCTCAGTAGACAATATTTCAATGAACTAAATACCTAGTCTTCTTCCCTTCGTTGAAAACAATATAGGAAGTTGGGCAACACCAACAATACCGATTCCTGGGACATCGGACCCAGAACATTTGTCGGTCAAGTGTGTTGAAAGCAGAAAAGAGACTCGAGGAAAGCTCGCCTACAGAAGCCAGAAAAGTCTTGCTCAGAGTAGGACGCACTAAAGATCGTTAATCGAACATATAAAAAGTTTTATCAGCCTTTTTCAAAGAAAAAACAACAACATTGGTTGATTTGTCAACCTTTTTCTAAAACCGGACAAAAATATCAAGCAAATAATTTCTCAACAGACACCATGAAGATGGTCCAGTGCGCTGGGTGCGATCGCCCTATCTTGGACCGGTTCTTACTGAACGTCCTAGACCGTTCCTGGCACGCTAACTGCGTCCAGTGCTGTGAGTGTAAATGTAACCTGACAGAGAAGTGTTTCTCTCGAGACGGAAAACTCTACTGTCGAAACGACTTCTTCAAGTAGGTTAATATCTCTAATTAAAAATAACCTTAGTTTATCACTTACAAACTTAAAATATGTTTTATTAAAATGGCCAACGATAATTAAAAGTCCTTATCACCTACAGTCTTAAAATATGTTTTATTAAAATGACCAACAATAGTTAAAAGTCCTTCTAATAATAAGCCAAAGTTATTTCACGAACTTGTGACTTATAGACACCTGAGTAGCCAAATGTATTTAATCATTTCAGTTGCTTTGCCAAATGAAATCAGCTAACAAAGTCTACTTGATTTAAGTTGATTGCTTACCAAAGTTTTGCATATTGTCTTTACTTTAAGGTAAACATTTAATGTGTGCAGAAATGTGCTACTTAACATTAAGTCTTCATTTTAGGTTTGTAGAAAACTACGAATTTATCAAAATGGTTTCGAATAGAAAAGTGGTACATTTTAATTAAAATTGTTTTCATTTTGCTATCCAAACCAAAAAGAGAAGGTCTTCAGTTTATATTTGCTTATAATAGCTAAACACGTGGCGATATTAATTCATGAATGTATTTCGTATATTCGAAACTATATATATATATATAAAATATTACACGTTAAATATGGTCCTATATAATTTGAAATTCCCCTGTATTAGTTGTTCGGGTGTGATACGTAGTTTACACCTAGTGATATGAATAAGTACGTATAAATATATAAGCTAAGAAGAGACATCTTAAATGACATTGCTGCGGTAAAATACTTTCACACCTTTGTTCCAGGTATTTAATTCAACTCACGTAAACTTGAAGATCACTGACCAACGCGCTCTCTGCGAGTGTGTTGGTACAAAATCGTTCCAGTTTATCTGCGAAACAACATGCTCCAGTGCTTATGATAGTCACAGCAGATTAGAAACATTTATAGCTGATATGAAGCCTAAGAAAGGGTATATTGTAATGTATATCTATATATTGAACCTAGGCAAACTTGCGTATTTTTATACACATGTAACTATTTACTTTTATACTTAGGATTAACCGCCTCTATTTCTGTTATCACGAGAATTTTCCCGTATGACAACAGTTAGGTTACCGATAGTTGTTGTGGTGTTAGTTTCTCTATTTCTACTTTCTTCATATTTTTTTATTCCAAGATCTACTGACTTGTCTTTCACTTTATATTTTTGTTTATATTGTTCAATGATTACTAAAATAACGGTTTACATCCATTTCTCTTCCTGCTATGTTTTCGTGCGTTTACTTAACAACATATCCACATCCTTGGTTTCCTTGGACATCTGTGAAAAGTAACAAACTATTTTATTTTTCTAGTTCACTGCTAAAGTTATCCAGTAGAGTTGAAATAAGAGTTACATGCCTTGCTTAAAGATGATTCGGGCCTGGTTTCTTAAAACAAAATTTAAGATCAATAGTAAATTTGTTTGCTTTTGTTTTAGCGCAAAGCTGCACAACGAGATATCTGTGCTGTGTCCGCCGAGAGGATCGAACATCGAATTATAGCATTATAAATGTTCAAGCGTACCGCTGAGCCACAGAGGGGCAATTAATAGTTAACCAAACTTTCTCTCTCTGTGAGTTCTTAGCCAACATTTGGAGATTTAGTTCACATGAAAGATATAGTGAGTGTATAAAACACATATATTGAAAATAAAACTCTTATAAACGAATTTCGTTTGGATATAATATTTGGTAAACGTCAAATATTATAATATTTTGCGGTCATGGACATCTCAACTCCTTGTTCCATAGAAGAAAAAAAACTTACAACAAATTAATTACGACTTTAAAACATTTTCTAAGGATTCATTTGGAAAATTACTCTTAAGTTGTCTGTACGAAAAGTTTTAACAACTCTTCAAACTAACTATTTTAGATTATAATCTCAAGAAGTTATTCTCAGAGGCATGGCTTTACAAAACACTTAGTATCAAAGTATTTAAAAGTTTATGCTTCAGAAATTACCTAACCTAATTTGTAAAACTCGTGTCCATATACCAATATCATCTCTTTCAGCGATCTGTAACTAAAAAGTACAAGACACATCCTTTTAATTTGGTGATTCTAAGTTGTATTGCAAGGCACTTACATAGAAAATGTCATACAAGATATATACGTAATAATTCAAAGGAAAGTTAAAAATATTTTTCATTTGTACTGTGTTTTAATTAAGTTTTGCAGTTAAGGCTTAGTGCACAGAATAATTCCATCTTCAGGGACAAGAAAGCAGCTCAGATCCTCAGTTTGATATAAGACCAGAAACTATAAGGAATTATGTAGACTTCGTGTTGTTTATTTTTCATCAATTTCTGTTCTTAAAGCGATTAATGGCATGAACATATTTAAAGTAACTAGTCAGTAAACGCTATTAAGCTCTAATGTAAATTACACATCAATTCCAGAAACATCTCGTCGTTGCCCAATGTGTTCAGTGATTTGTTCCTTTGTTATTCATTGCTATTCCTGAAAGAATAAATATGTGCAAGCCAAAGAAAATTTGGACGTCTATATAAACATCACTTTAAAACATATATTTATAGTTAAAAAATTCTGTGTTTTAGGTCGTTAATAAATTAAAAATTAAAAACTTAAAATCCGATATACAGAAAATGAAAGAAAGTTATAGTTTACGTTTACGTTTACCTATACCGACACATATATCTACGAAATGCGATGTTGTGTCACTATCTAAATACCATCAGTCAGGTTCAAGATAATGGTATCGGAATACCATCTGTGAACTGCAACATAATGATATTAACATCGAAAAATCATCCATTAACTGAAAGACAACGACAGTGGTATCGAAATATTATTTCTCAACTCCAACATAACGAAATTGTATCGAATTATCATCCACCCCGTGCAGTACAGAGACAATAGTATTGACATATCATGCATCAACTGCAAACAACGACGATAGTATCAATTTATCATCCATCACTTGCAAGACAATGTTAAAATATAGAAATATCACCGATAAACTTCATTAAATCGACGACATTATCGAAACGTTATTCGACGATAGGAAAATATTGTAATAATATCTAAAAGTTGTTCATCAACTGTAAAACAACGACAGTAGTATCAAATTATTTTCTATCAACTACAATACCACAATAATAGGTTCGAAACATCATCAATAAAATAATAGTAACTATATGTTTTACACTGTCTGCAAGACAATGTAATAATTTCTTAGATTCTCTTCGTTCCTTATAACTTGGAATAGCTATGAAAAACAGATAATACATTGAAGTTTACAAAAATCTTTTTATATATATTTTTACTCATACATTGTACACAGCGATTTATACTAGTATATACATATTTGGATGCTGACATCTATGTTGTAAAAAATATAAGCTCTCTAGCCACCATTTGAAGTGTTAAGTTGATGCTTATCAGTATTGCTCGTTGTGTGTTACACTGAAGAGTGATTGATTCGTGACGTCTGCCTGCATTATTACAGTCACTTGATAATTAAGTGATGGCACTGATTCTCGCGGTTCGGTAATGGAAAGTGGCCAATTAATGAACAGAACGATTTAAAGAAACTCCATGGTGAAATAGGTACGTTATACACCTCCCCGCACATGGCAACTTCTATGAGTTATTAATATTAATATTTTTTTATTTTTTTAGTTTTCATTCCGGTTTACTGAGTACACGCATGTATAACAAGCTATTCGCTAGCAAAATGCTACCAGCTAAAATGTGTAATAACTTTGTCCAAAATAATATTTATTGTTATTACTGTATAGTTTGTTATTTAAAACTTAAAAATTTGCATTCATATAGAATATATTAGATTTTTCTCTTTTTGCAACATTTGAATATCTAAAGAAATTGAATAATAGTCTTTTCTTAAAATAACAGAAATTTATGTCTAAAGGGAATGGTTAATGATTTTTATCCACAAACATTCATGAATGTAAGGTTATCAACTGGAAGCTTAATGAAGTGTACTCGAAAAATGATATCAGAATTCAGGTCTTCTACCTATAGTCCCTGAACAATAGATAGAGCTGAGTGTGAACCTGGTTCACCAAATCTCTTCTCTAGAAAATATTATATTAAGTATCGAACAGCAAGTGTCCTAAAAGTTAGTAATCCTATACTTGATTCGTTTTTTTTTTTATTAATAGTTTTGAGAAAATAGAGGGCCCGGCATGGCCAGGTGGTTAAGGTTCTCCACTCGCAATCTGAGGGTCGCGGGTTCGAATCCTCTTCACACCAAACATGCTCGCCCTTTCGCCAGCCATGGGGGCGTTATAATGTGGCGGTCAATCTCACTATTCGTTGGTAAAAGAGTA